TTCAACAATCTATAAATTGTCTTAAAATATTTTATATTATTTCATGATAAAAATTAACATATGACAAAACTATAGAAAAAATAAAAACTTTTCTCTTATATCCTTAATTAAGAAAAAAAATTAATATCCCTATAATTTATATAGACTTCTATGAGATATTTATTATCTTATAACCAGTAACATCATTTTAAACGAGTTATAATAAAATATAATTTGAACTACTATATTGAATTACTACAATTTATATCATGTTAATATTTGTTTAGTACAGTTGGTTCTCTTTGTTTGAAGTAGTAAGTTGCCTCTTTAGGGATGCAAGTCCCCTTGGAAGTTCTCTTTGTTGACTACACTAAAAATTTCTCTTGATTTTGTTGTATACAAGACATAAAGTAAAATCATAAGTTTTTTTCAACTTTTCTCGTATTGTAAAGAATAATGTTGTTCGTTTTAACTTTCATCAGGTAGATGATTGTTCCCACAATCTTGCAAGACCAAATTGGATGTATTCAAAATTAGTTTACAAATAGATCGAAGTTTTTATTGTAGAAAAATTGTTAATATAAATTATACTTGTACCTTTAATGTATTATCTTGCTAAAAATTCAAATATAGTAGGGAAATAATACCATTCAATCAATTTTACAATTTGATGTTTATATTTGACATTGATGTTAAAATGAGTATTATAGCACATAGTATTTTTATGTTAATAATTGGAGCAGCTTAAGCAGGTTATAATTTATAGTTTTAAATTATTAAAATAAATTAAGTGTAAATTGTGATCCCCAATATCATTCTCTATCAGTTATTAAATGGATATAACAATGATCGATTTATTTATCAAAAAATTAATCGAGCACCGATAAAAAATAATTTTAAGATTACAATGTTGGGCCCGTATACGGGCCTTTCCTCATCTAGTACTATTACAAAAGAATGAAGGCTAATGCGAAATGGAAATCAATTCTTTTGTTCAATTAATATTCAATAAATTCACTAAAATTATGATGAATGTAATACCAATGATTTTGCCCAAAGAAAGTAAAATATTTTATGATAACTAATCATTAATCCTTGTAAGTTAGAACAAAGTATTTGATAATAATGGGGAAAAAAGAAATATTTTGATAACATCTATTAGCCCGACACTTAAGCTAATCTAAGTTTTTAATCCATGCAACTTGCATACTTATGGCTTAAAGACATATAGTGATATATGGAAAGGTCATTAGGTATATACACCATACCCAAAATGCCACAAGCAAGAAACTCATCAAAGAAACAACAACGTTAATTCATATTATTTACATTGATATTAAGAGAAATAGTAAAGTACGATATGAAGCAAATCTAATTATATAGATGTAGTAATGCAAAAAAAAGGGCATAGCAACACCACAAACCATTACAAAATGATTTGAACACTATAGTTTGAAGAAAATACAATAATGTTGCATTTAAATAGTCTCTACTATCAGAAAAAATTTATTTTCACCTCTAAACAAAGAATACCCCACATGAAGATACACATACGAAATTATGAGAGTTCATAAGCCACAACTACAATTTTTCTTATCCGTGTTTGATAGTTCATTCCAACAAGTCTAATCAATGCATATATTCCTATGAAATTATGTGCAAACTTGACTAATTAACTATTTTTCTTTATTAATAAGATCATCGGTCAAGAACTACACAAGATTTATTCTAAATAAAATTTATTTTATGAATATTTATGTAATCAGTCACGTGCAAAAATGAAGCACTTTGATAAAAAAAATCATAACTAAAATAAGATATAAACGAGCTAAAATAATTATAAACGACTATTAGCATTTGCCGAGTACGCATACCTATGCAACTACTAATGGGATAAATAGGACGATGATACAAGTTTTAGCATTATTATAAAATGAATAAAATATGAATAAAGAATTTTTAATTGCTCGAAAACTATCATATATAAATTACGTAATAATTAGCACAAAATATATATGCAACACACTTGCTCAAGTGCTTGTGAAACATTCAACTTTTTTACTCTTCAAATAAATGTTTTTCCTGTAACACTACTTTTCTATCCTTCAAATAAACATCTTTCCTGTAACACTAATATAAATTGGAGGAAATCACAACCATACAATGGACCCAAACCCCTAAACATGACCTAATATTTATCATATTAGAACTTTGGGAATTCTTAATTTTGCTGTCTTAATTAATTTGAACTATTAATGAGGTTGTACCTTTTAATTTTCTATTTCTTTAGACACTTTTCTCACAAGAGGTTTCACAAGAGGGGAAGAAGTGTTTACTATCAACTTGTTAGACAAATAAATGTGCGAACATCTGAGCTCAACATCATATTTACTATTTAGAGACTGATGGCGCCAGATAATATAAAAAGAAAGACTTTTTTTTTTTCATTAGCATAGAAAAGAAGTAGTAAAGGTAATATCGCTACCAACATACATTAATTAATGTTATTTTTCTTCTTAACCTTTTCTTAACCTCATAATTTTTTTTTCCTAAAGTTAACTAATTAAAAAATGTATAGATAATGATTATTCAAAAGCTGAAGTATATATGTGTCTGATTTTTGAACGTCACAAGCAAATAATTGGATCTCATCCTTTTTCACAAATTCTAGATGTGGAACTCAAAAAGGAAAAGGAGTTCAAAATATAACAAGAAAAAGTTATCAATCACACATTGCAAATGTGTCTTGTTTAATTAATGTTGTAAAGCAATAAAGTTATATCCGTAATGCAATTGATAATACACCTTAAAGTTATACATTTATTAAATATAATAAAATTATTGATATTCAACAAATATAAACGAATTTGTGGTAGGTATAGAAAATCATATATTCATTCTTCTTCTTTGTTTTCTTTTTTATTTTGTGGTTCTCCCCACACATTAAATAAGCGAATTTGTCTTAAAACATCTGAAGAAAGGATTTCTCATTTCTCAAATTGTCCTATAACCTTTTCGTCAGTTTCTAATAATAAAATGCAACTTTATTAAGAACCATTTTAGGTCGTCTTTTCCGTGCTCTCAGCTCACGTTAGCTAAACGTGCGCCGGGTGTGGCAGCCATGGCTAGGGGGCGAGGTAGAGGAAGAGGAAGACCAAAAAAGGTTCCTAAGACACCGATCTCTAACATTAGAAGGCTGGACAGGACATGCAAACACCAGAGCAACATGAAGGAGTAGAAGCAGGAAAGGGTGAAATTGATTCATCGAATAGCTCAGAGACAAGTAGAAAGCTGACTCTAAGCACATCAACTCAAGCTAAGCAAAGTGAGATGATAGGTACTGCTAGAGCTGAAGGAAATTCCAATGGAACAGTAACAGAGATGGCGACGCAGGACATGCATAAGAAACTTGGCAAAGAGACTACAACTGAACAAAGAGAGGAGACTATTGGACCTAGACATGTAAATCTAAAGGCTAAAGAGGCGAATCCTGCAGATCGACGACCAGAGCACAAAATGTGGTCCAATTTGTTTCAACAAAATCGAGTTGCGACTCATGGAATGGCTCTTAGATATGTTTCTCCTCAGATTATAGAAGGACACACTGTGGTGCAACTTGATATGCAGGATGTGAAGGAAGCAGAAGAGAGGTGGAGTGCTGCGATAATAGCTTATATTGTGGGAGAAAATCCAGGATGTAATGCTATGAGAAGGTATATTACTCAACACTGGCTTGATATTGCAGAACCAAACCTATTTCTTCATGAAGATGGCTATTATGTGATAAAGTTTCAAAGCCTAACTGATATGCATAGAATATTTTATGCTGGACCGCATATTATCAGAAATAGGCCAAAAATTCTCAAGCCTTGGTCCCCAGATTTTGAGCTTAGCAAGGAATTTCTAACCGATATGCACTATGGGTGATTTTTCCTAAATTGCCAATGAGCTGCTGGGGGAATGAAGCATTGAGTAAAATTGCTAGTGCTATTGGGAAACCTCTATTTGCTGATGAATGTACTACTAAGCAAACAAGAATTTCATATGCTAGGATGCTGATTGAAGTAAATATGACTAAGGATATGCCTACTGAGATTATGGTGATGGATCCAAGAGAAAAAATGTTTCAACAGGATATAATATATGAATGGAAGCCAGTGTATTGTGACAAATGCCAAGCTATTGGACATATTCGCCCTACTCACCAAGGACCTAAAGAGCAGAAGGAGATGCAACCAAAGAGTAGAAGAGAACCAAAGAAAGTTACCTATGAGTGGAGAACCAAAGGGCCTATCACAAATGTTGTAAACAATGTTGAACCTGTGCAAGCAGAACCATCGGGTATAGAGGCTCCTAAGGCAATTGGAGGGACAGATAGACTAAAAGAGAATGGCAAGGAAGGATCTCAATACAGTTTATCAGTGCAAGCACAACAAGCAAGATAGCTTCAGGTAACTGGAGACAAAATAAGAAATAGCACAAAAGTAGTGGATAAAGGGAAGAACCAAGTATTGGATTTCAGTCTTGAAAACTTTCCTATGTTAACCCCCCAATCTAGTAGAAGCAGTGCAAAAAGTGGGACAGCAAGTACAAGTGGAAGCTATGCCTTACCTCATGATAGAGGTGGGGGATCTAAACTCAATAAATGAAGTGGTTAATTTGGAATGTCAGGGGTATCAATAAGTGATATAAGAGGAAGGAGTTGAAGAATTATCTAAAAACCAAAAACATAAATCTGGCAGGGATCATTGAAACTAGAGTCAAGGAGCACAATGCTGGAGGAATAAGCTACCACATAGCACCTGGATGGGAGATGATTAATAATTATAATACTACAACTAATGGTAGAATATAGGTTCTATGGGATCCTAACTACTCTCAGTGAAGATGATTAAAGCAGAAGCTCAGGTTATTCACTGTGTTGTCACAAATGTTAGAAATGATCAGTATCTATAGTCCATGGATATAACACAGTTGAAAAAAGGAAGCAATTATGGGAAAATCTGAAAGAGATAGATCAAATGACTACCATTCCGTGGATGATTGGGGGTGACTTTAATGTTGTTCTGCAGTTACAAGATAGAATGCATGGAAATCCAGTTACTAAGGCTGAAACTCAAGATTTCAGCAAATGTATTCAAGAGTTGAAGCTGAAGGAACTGGCTTGGGAAGGTGATTACTATACTTGGTCTAACAAGCAAGATGGTGGTGACAGGATATGGAGCGACAGGATCTTTGGTAACTATGAATGGATGATGCAATGGGGTCATATAGGGTCATATAGTAACTATGTATGAGTTGCCATTTATATCTGATCATGCACCTATGAGTTTGACCTTCAATGAGCATCAGAGAAATAGGAAAATTCCTTTTAAATTTTTCAATGTTGGGCTGATCATGAGAGTTTCATGTATGAAGTATATCTTTGGAAGCAAAGATTTCACAATCAGAAAACGAAGAATGCGTGGATGAAGCTCAAAGCCTTAAGGATAGTACTGAAGAAGCTTAATGTAGGGGAGTTCAAGTTTATTAAAAAGAAGATAGAGCTAGGAAGGATTGAGCTGGAACAAGTGCAGAAAAACATAGATACAGATAACACTTCTGATATGCTACTGAAAGAAAAGGAGCTGATACAAAATTTGGAGAAATGGAGTATGATAGAAGAAGGAGCTTTGAAACAAAAAGCCGGGGCAAAATGAATTCAACTGGGTGACTCTAATACTAGATACTTCTCTGCTGTAATGAAAGAGAGGAGCCAAAGGAAGCAAATTGTGGAGTTACAAACTATTAATGGCAACAGGATAACTGAGTCAAAAAGTATTCAAAGGGATATAGTAGATTTTTATAAATCATTGATGGGAACTGCTTCCCAATCTTTTCCTGCTATAGATAAAAGGGTGATGTATAATGGAACTAAACTCAACCAACAGCAAAGAATTGATCTATGCAGAGATTTGACTCCAGAAGAGATCTATGAAGGACTATGCTCTATTGGTAATGATAAGGCACCCGGTGTTGATGGCTATAATGCATACTTCTTCAAGAAAGCATGGCCTATTGTTAAAGATGAAGTCATTGAAGCTGTTATGGACTTCTTTAATACTGGAAAGCTATATAGAGCCATAAACTGCACAGCCATAACCTTAGTTCCCAAGGTTTCTAAGCCTAAAACTGTTAAAGAATGCAGGCCTATAGCTTGTTGCACTGTCCTATACAAAATGATATCCAGGGTTCTAGCAGCAAGGATACAAGGGGTTATTAGTACAATTATTAATGAAGCTCAAGCAAGGTTTATACCTGGGAGAAAGATAGCAGACAATATCCTATTGGCACATGAACTGGTGAAGGCTTACACTAGGAAAAACATATCTCCTAGATGTATGATAAAGATAGATCTTCAAAAAGCCTATGATTCTGTGGAGTGGCAATACATGAAGCAAGTGATGGAAGAGCTAGGATTCCCTCAGCTATTCATATCATGGGTTATGGAGTGTATGCATACAGTTAACTACTCGATTGTAGTTAATGGTGATCCAACTAAACCTTTTATGCTGCTAAAGGAATGAGGCAGAGTGATCCTATGTCACCATTCTTGTTTGCCATTGCAATGGAGTACCTGAGTAGGAACCTGGCTAGTTTGAAGATGGAGAAGGAGTTCAAGTATCACCCTAGGTGTGCAAAGCTTGGGATCACTCACCTAAGCTTTGCAGATGACTTACTATTATTTGCCAAAGGTGATTTGAAGACAGTGCAAGTAATGCAGCAGAAATTTAGTCTTCACTCAAGTCTCAGGTCTACAAGCAAATCATAGTAAAAGTGAAGCTTATTTTGGAGGTGTCCCTGTGGCAGATAGACAGCAAATCCTGCAGATGTTGGGGCTTGCAAATGGTGAACTATCTTTCAAGTATCTAGGTATACCCCTATCCACAAAGAAGCTGAGTATAATGCAGTGGCAACCTCTTATTGACAAAATGACTAAAAGGATCACTTCTTGGACTGCAAAGACTTTATCATATGCAGGGAGAGTTCAATTAGTTCAAAGTGTTCTATTTGGGATACAGGCTTTGTGGGCACAGTTGTTTATTCTGCCATCAAAAGTAATTAAAATGGTAGAGGAGCTGTGCAGATCTTATGTCTGGTCTGGTGATAATGAAATCACAAAGAAGGCCTTATGTATACGGTGAAATCAAAGGAGCCGATTTCATGGCCATTACGGTGCTCCATAGATACGCCTCCTAAGGCTCGAGAAAAGGCTTGAGATACAACCTCGAAGGGTTTCCAAACGCTCGACTCTGGAGCAATGCAGATCGATAGCTATGATGGAGAAATGGGAAGTTCCCTAGGCACTTGATTAAAGCTGACCAAGCCTATTAGGCTAGTACAAGCCCGTACCGTGGCATTAAATGATTGTATCAGCCCCATATCTTTGTAATAAATGCAACTGTATTATGTTGGGATTCCACCTCATATATAAAGGGGACCCTAGCCATTTTGTACAAGGGACAACACAACACACAATATTGAATACAAGAACATTCTCTGCTCTCTAACTTAAATACATTATCCTTTGATTCTATTATTTACATTTATTACTTACATTTATTGTATTCTATTAATTGTTCTTCATTTATTGTTCATCATTGATCATAAAGAGCCTTCATCAAACCTCTCAAGCTGTTAGTCCTTTACCGGTTGTCCATAACTTAGCATCGAGCTCGACCTCGAGGCCCCGTATAACTAGGCTCGAGGCCCCGATTCTCAGCCACTCGGTTTGCTTAAACATACTATCTTCAAGCTCTTATCTTATTTTCTAGTCTCTTACTTAGCATCTATTTCTTAACAACTAGCATAAAAATAAATCACGTATTTTTAGAACCACAAAATCAAATCTAATTGTTATTACCGTTTTCAAGGTAAACAGTTTGGCGCCCACCGTGGGGCTAAAAATAATAGTGATTGTTTTCTTGCTGGTTTACTATATCAGCAAGTCATCTTTCACGCTTCTTCTTGTCCAAAGCATCTTTGATTTCAGGTCAAAATGTCAAACTCAGTGAATGCACAGGAGAACAACGGTCCTGAGGACCATGGAGAGAATGGTGTAGCTGTTCCAGGTATTGGTGTACCACCGCGAAACCCTGAGGTTGCACCAGAGCCAATTCCCGTGGACGTGGTCTCGCGCAACGCCCAACATGTCGACATAAGCTCCCATACCGACATGAGTATACGCCAAGAGAACCAACAAGAAGCTCAGAAAACCCCAGCTCGGGAAGAGCGATAGTTTAGCCTTCACGTCATTTTTGAGATGTTGCAGGCACAACAGCTGGCGATTGCTCAGCTACAAAGCCACCAAAAAACTCCAAGCACAACAACACCGGAGGCGACTCCTCGAACCGAACAAATACCAGAAAGATCAAGCAACAACGGGTCTGCAGCCGATCCTGCTATCATAAAGATGCTCGAGGACCTCACGAAGAGGATTGAATCAGGCGAGAAGAAGATAGAAGCCAATGACAAAAAGGTGGAGACCTACAATTTTAGGGTCGATCAAATCCCGGGCGCACCCCCGATCCTGAAGGGTTTAGATTCGAACAAGTTCGTACAAAAGCCATTCCCACAAGATGCTGCTCCAAAACCCATCCCGAAGAAGTTAAGAATGCTCGACCTTTCGTAATACAACAGAACCTCAGATCCCAACGAGCACGTCACCGCTTACACTTGTGCAGTGAAGGGCAACGACCTAAAGGACGACGAGATTGAGTCCGTCCTGCTAAATAAGTTCGGAGAAACATTTTCGAAGGGGGCCATGATGTGGTGCCACAACCTCGCCCCGAACTCAGTAGACTCATTTGCCATGCTGGCAGATTCTTTCATAAAGGCACATGCCGGTGCCATCAAGGTGGCTACAAGGAAATCCGACGTCTTCAAAACCAAACAAAGAGAAAACGAGATGTTGCGGGATTTTGTGTCTCGCTTTCAAATGGAGCGAATGGAATTACCACCAGTCTCCGACGACTGGGCCGTACAAACTTTCACTCAAGGTTTGAACGAGCGAAGCTCGGTAGCTTCGAAGCAGCTGAAGCAGAACTTGGTCGAATATCCCGCCATGACCTGGTCGGATGTCCACAACCGATACCAATCGAATATCAGGGTCGAGGACGACCAACTAGGAGCCCCCTCGGGCTCGGTATATCCTAACAGGCTTCTAGCAAAGGAGCCAAAGCCAAACAAGGAAAGGTACCAACCATACACTGAAGATAGAAGAAACGCTCCAAGACGTAACATACCCCAAAATGACCGAAGGATAGATCAAGGTCAGAACCCTCAGGGACTCGTAAGCAAAACCGGATTCGACAGACACACAGGATCGACGGAGGCACCCCGATTGTCCGAATACAACTTCAACATTGACGTTTCAAACATCGTCTCTGCCATCGGTAAAATCAGAGAAACCAGGTGGCCAAAACCCGTACAATCAGACCCGTCGCAAAGGAACCCCAACCTAGTGTGCGAGTTTCACGGCACGCACGGTCATAGGGCCGAAGACTGCAGACAGCTCCGAGAGGAAGTAGCCCGACTACTCAGCAAAGGGCACCTCCGAGAGTTCCTCAGCGACCGAGCCAAAAATCAATTTCGGGAAAGAGAGGCGAACAGAAAGAATGAAACAGAAGAACCACAACACATCATCCACATGATTGTCGGAGGAGTCGACATCCCACAGGAACCCATCGTCAAATGAACAAAAATATCCATCACCAGGGAAAAGCGAACTCAAGGTTACATACCCGAGGACGCTCTAACATTCAGCGACGAGGACATCGAGACCCTGTCTCAACCTCATAACGACGCACTGGTAATCTCTTTCCTTGTAAATACATTTCAAGTTAAACGTGTACTTGTGGATCCAGGTAGCTCGGCCAACATCATCAGTTTGAGGGTGGTGGAGCAGCTCGGACTGCTCGACCAGATCATGCCCGCCTCTCGAGTCCTCAACGGAATAACATGGCGAGCGAGACAACGAAAGGAAAAATCACCCTCCCGGTCAACGTGGCCGGCACAACCCAAAATGTCATGTTCTATGTCATCGAAGGAGACATGAGGTACAACGCCTTGCTCGGAAGGCCATGGATACACTACATGAGAGCAGTACCATCTACCCTTCATCAAATGATGTAATTTCTGACAAAGGACGGAATAAAAACCGTCTACGGAGAATAATATGCAGCGAGAGAGATGTTCGCGGTGCACGATGTGGCACCGACATCAACATCTCCAGCATCGAAGGAGCCAAAAGATAAGCAAATAGTGAAGAAGCAATAGCGAGATATATTCTCGGCTACGCCCGACTAAATGAGTAAAGGACCGTACCGCGTCCTCGGAGCAAACGGCTGGGGCATATCGAGGCTCGAAGCGCCATCAGCACTAAAGTATAATCATTTCCCTTTTTCATTTACATTTTACACTAACCTGTGCGCAGGTATCCGATTGGAACAGTCGAAGCGATCTCCAGCTTGAAGACCTTAGGTTTTAAAGCATGCGTTGCACTCTTTTCCTTCGACTGGGTTTTATCCCAAGAAGGATTTTACCGGCAAGGTTTTTAACGAGGCAACATCTATGTGCTACCTAAGGAAAACTCAACAAGTATTCAAGGCTTCTCTTCAATAAACCTCGAATACTGTGGGGCATCCCCCCGGGAGGTCAC